AAAAAAAAAAAAAAAAGCAAAGAAAAACAGGACTTTCAAAAAGTTAATCACTCCAAAATTCTCCCTTGAGCCCCTCTATGGGGCCTTGATTATTCTTTATGAAGTGCTCAACTGTTGGGCCCAGAGCAAGCGCTGTCAGGGTATAAAGGTGGTAAGATGACCATGGGGACAGCCCTCAGTGGCCGCCACACAAGCTCAAGAGCCAGATCCTGCTGGGAGCAGAACAGAATGACAACCTTGGTACCACCCACATGGGCGTGGCAGTGGGGCAGGGACTGGCTCCACCCCCAGGGAGCACCAGGATTCTGTGCCCTGAGGCTGAGTGGCCTACCCTGTGTACCTCAGAATCTCCGGGCTCGGGGGAGCAGCGTCCTCTGGGGGAGCCACCAAACCCCTGCAGCATTCCCACTAAGGTGCCCAAAGCGGACACCCTGCTCCACTGCCCGCGACACAGAGCCCGAACCTGGAAGTGGCCCTGCTGGCAGGCCAGGTGGAGCGGAACAGCTTGGTCTGCATTCCTGGCACCCGCGTTGGCCCCGTGCTTCAGCAGGAGGGGGATGAGGTCCACCCGGCCGTGCAGGGCGGCGACATGCAGCGGGGAGGAGCCGTCCTGGCTGGTCACGTTCACACCAAGCCCGCTGGCAGGAACCTTCGCCAGCCTCTGGGAAGCACAGAAGATGGAAACAGAAACACCATCAGTATTGAAGAAACTGGGCCAGAGTGACTGGCGCCATGTGCCCCCCACAGCTCCCACGCACAATGCGGGATCATGGTGGGATCCAGGATGGATTCCAATTCCTTTGGAACTACGTGGCATGCCAAAGAACAACTTCCTTTTTTTTTTGAGACAGGGTCACACTCTGTTGCCCAGGCTGGAGTGCAGTGGCACCATCACGGCTCACTGCAGCCTCCACTTCCTGGGCTCAAGTGATCCTCCCGCCTCAGCCTCCCAATAGGTAGGTCCACAGGCACAAGCCATTGTGCCCAGTTAATTTTTTCTTTTTTTTTTTTTTTTTAGAGACAGGGTCTTGCGATGTGCTCCAGGCTGGTCTTGAACTCCCAGGCTCAAGTGGTCCTCCCACCTCAGCCTCCCAAAGTGCTGAGACTACACGTGTATGCCACTGTGCCTGGCTAATTTCTCTTTTTTTTTTCACCAGGGCTGTAGAGCCTCTAAATTCACTTTGAGGGGCATGGCCACAGCCCCGCAAAGACGACGAGATTCACTTGCTGTTTATACCTCTGTTTAAACCACTGCTACAAGAAACAGTGATTCTTGGCTTTAGGTGAGAGTAATTTTCCTTTTTGATGATTAAAAATGTTACCTCTTTAAAAAAAAAAAAAAAAACCGTATGCTACATTAAAGGCTGAATTTTACTATATGTAAATTGTATCTCAAAAATCAAAAACAAAGAAGCTAGAAAACACACACGTGCGCACACACACACATGCAAAATGAAATACCCTGCATATTTATCAGAATGGCTCAAGTTAAAAAGTCAAGGCTGGGCACGGTGGCTCACGCTGGTAATCCCAACACTTTGGGAGGCCGAGGTGGGAGGATCACCTGAGGTCAGGAGTTCTAGACCAGCCTGGCCAACATGGTAAAACCCCGTCTCTATCAAAAATACAAAAATTAGCCGGGTGTGGTGGCCCCCGCCTGTAATCCCAGCTACATTACAGGTGTGCACTGAGGCT